TTTATTCATCATATAAGACAGCGAAACAACTATGGGAGTCTTTGGAAAAGAAGTATAAGTCTGAAGTGGCTAGTTCCAAGAAGTTTGTGATTGGAAAATTCTCGAATTACAAGATGAGTGACACCAAGTCTGTTGTCAAGCAAGTTGAAGAACTCCAAGTGATTGTTCATAAGTTAGATGAGGAAAATCTTGATCTGAAACAAGGTTTTGTGGTTGGCTCTATTAAAGAGAAACTGCCTTCGAATTTGAAGGATTTTAAGATTTATCTGAAGCGTCTAACTGAAGACATAAGCATGGATTAGTTGATTTTTAAACTGCGTGTGGAGGAGGATCATCGCAAAAATGAGGAGCATGATGTCTCATTACTGGAGGCAAAAGCCAATGTTGTGGAATGAGGTGACTCACACAAGGCAAGGCACTATCAGAAAAAAAAGAAAAAAAAGAGGCGATGATGCTGCAAAGAAAGCACTGACTGCTGTGAAAGGGAAAACCTTCAAGAAAATCAAAGGAGGTTGCTGGGTTTATGGAAAGACAGGTCATAGGGCAAAGGATTGCCGCCACAAGAAGGATCAGAATTCTAAGAATTCCAATCAAGCAAACGTTGTAGAAGACAAGTTTGTCTGACGTCAATTTATTGACTAATTCCAATGACCGGTGGGTTGGTACAGGAGCAACAAAGCATGTGTGTGTTGATCGAAATTTATTTGTTACTTACCAATCTGTTAATGGTGGAGAAAATCTGTACATGGGAAATGCAACTGCATCTGTTGTTGCAGTGAAGGGAAAAGTGACGCTGAAACTCACTTCTGGAAAAGAGCTTTCACTCACCAATGTTCTGCATGTTCCTAATATTCGCAAGAATTTGATTTCTGGTTCGCTTCTGAGTAACAAAGGTTTCAAAATAGTCTTTGAATCTGATAAGTTTGTAATCACCAAGGGTGGGGTGTATGTGAGAAAGGGCTACCTGGCTGAGGGGTTCATCAAACTGAATGTACTTTCTGCTGATGCTTAATAATAACAACAAGCCTGGTGCTTCTTCTGCTTACTTGATTGAGTTCTCTACAGTATGGCATGCAAGATTAGGTCATGTTAATTTTCGTTCTCTTCAAAGAATGGTTAAGTTAGGCCTATTGCCCAAATGTTCCATGAACAAAGTATCTAAATGTCAGATATGCACATAATGTAAATATGCAAGACACTCATATAAATCAGTGGAAAAATCCAACGAAATACTTGGTTTAATCCATAGTGATCTTTGTGATTTCAAATCCACACCAACTCGTGGAGGAAAGAACTACTATATTTCTTTCATTGATGATTGTAGCAAGTACTGTTATGTCTATTTGATTCATAGTAAAGATGAAGCTTTAAACATGTTTAAGACATTTAAAGCCGAAGTCGAAAATCAACTAGACAAAAGAATAAAAGTCTTAGTATTGGATAGAGGTGGTGAATACGAATCTAATGACTTTGCAAATTTGTTTTCAACACATGGAATAATACATCAAACGATAGCACCATATACTCCTCAACAAAATGGAGTGGCTGGATAAAAAAATGGTACATTGAAGGATATGATTAATTCCATGTTGAACAGTTCTGGTGCACCACATAATTTCTGGGGTGAGGCAGTCTTTGCTGCAAACACGATTTTAAACTGAGTTCCACATAAGAAGACTAATCAATCTCCTTATGAAATCTGGAAAGGTAGGTTACCTACATACAAAACCTTGAAAGTGTGGGGTTGTCTTGTGAAAGTTCAAGTGCCTCTTCCAAAGAGGCAAAAACTTGGACCAAAAACGGTGGATTGTATATTTACTAGTCACACCAATAATAGTTCAGCGTATAGATTTTTGGTTCATAAATATGAAATTGCAGACATTCATGTAAATACAATACTTGAATCTGCAGAAGTTGAGTTCTTTGAGGAATTTTTTCCTTATAAAGATAGGTCATATGTTTTGAACAAAAGAGTACATGATGTTACTACAAGAAATGATGACGATAATCATACTTCAACTTCTAGAGTTCAAAACCAAGATTTGGAACCACGGAAGAGTAAAAGAGCAAAATTGCAAAGGATTTTGGTCATGATTTCCTCACTTTTGTAACCGAAGAAGAGCCTCAAACTTGTAAGGCTGCATTAGAATCATCTGAAGCGCCTCATTGGAAAGAAGCTATTCAAAGTGAAATGGAATCCATCATGCAAAATAATACATGGGAATTGGTTAATTTGCCTCTTGGAAATAAACCAATAGGACACAAATGGATTTTTAAGAGGAGATTGAGATTGGATGGTACCATAGACAAGTATAAAGCTCATCTAGTTGCCAAAGGGTATCGTAAAAAAGAAGGACTTGACTATTTTGACACTTATCCACCCGTAGCTAGAATAACATCTATAAGGTTATTAATAGCTATAACGTCTGTGTACAATCTCGAGATACATCAAATGGATGTCAAGACTGCATTTCTAAATGGTGAATTTGATGAAGAAATACATATGGAGCAACCTGAAGGTTTCATTGTCAAAGGTCAAGAAAAGAAAGTTTGCAAATTGATTAAGTCATTATATGGACTTAAACAAGTGCCTAAGCAATGACATGAAAACTTCAATCATAATATGATCACAAATGGATTTGTGATCAATGAAAGTGATAAATGCATTTATGTTAAGCAAACGAAAAATGCTTATGTTATTTTATGTCTATATGTTGATAACATGCTTATAATGGGAACAAACAAAGATGTGATTAACTCAACAAAGAAAATGATAAATTCTAGCTTTGATATGGAAGATATGGGAATAGTTGATGTGATTCTTGGAGTTCAAATTCTAAGGAATTCATATGGATATGTCCTAACTTAATCACATTATGTTGAAAAGGTTCTATAAAGGTTTGGACATTATGATTGTAAACCTGCAGTAACTCCATTTGATCACATTCATAAACTTACTAAAAATGAAGAAGATAGCATATCTCAATTGGAGTATACCCAAATTATAGGTTGCTTGATGTACATTATGAATTGTACAATACCTGATCTTGCTTATTCAATAAGCCGACTAAGTAGGTATTCAAGTAATCCTGGAAGAGATCATTGGAATACTTTAATAAGGGTATTAAGATACTTAAAGCATACAATAAACTATGGTTTGCATTACACTCAATATCCCCCAGTATTAGAAGGATATAGTGATGCAAATTGGATTTCTGGGAGCACCAACAGTAAATCCACATGCGGATATGTATTTACACTTAGTGGAGTAGCTGTGTCATGGAAATCGTGTAAGCAAACATGTATAGCACGTTTGACAATGGAATTAGAGTTTATAGCCTTAGATACAGCTGCTGATGAAGTTGAATGGCTTAAACATTTTTTTGGAAGATATTCCATTATGGCCCAAGCCTGTGACTGCAATATGTATACATTGTGACAGCATGGTTGCACAAGGTCGAGCCAAAAACGCTGAATATAATGGGAAGTCGAGACATATAAGACGACGACATAGAACCATTAGACAATTACTCAAGAATGGAACTATATCCATTGACTATATTAAATCTAAGGAGAATATTGCCGATCCTTTGACAAAAGGCCTATCCAAGGATCAAGTGGCATTTACATCGAGGGGAATGGGTTTAAAGCCAACTCAATGAGTTATAACTTGATGGAAATCTAACCTAGCTAATTGGAGATCCCATGGTCTAGTTTCAATAGGCAAACTAGTTGTGGAAAATTGAAAGTAAGAAACACACAATCCTTACTCATTCCTATGATGAAAAACAGTGTGTTTCCTGTAAGACGAAGAGGGTGAATCATTATTCTTAATAATGCTAATATCTTACGGTTAAGATGAATAGAACGGGATATTCTTTATTAGCATTACCTATATGAGATGATGTGGGATCACATATTTGAGAATTGGTATGGCTACAATTCTCTAAAGGTCTCATGAAATCAGGATATGTTTAGGACCAAAATGAACACAACCGTATGAATTGAAGTGTGACACGATCTGATATGTGTGATACTTATTGTTTCGATTTACTACCAAGAATGATCAGTTCAAGATATTAAATTCACTGCTTCATCATGTAAATCTGATAAGTACTCACTAGAGAAGGTTCAAGTCCAAAAGACACCTATCCCAATGCATATCATATGTAAGTTCTCTTGGACGGACGTTACTAATTTAGTCAGTATCTTATTTTCTATTCAAATGTGGGGTATTGTTGGAACTTGTGGGGGACTCCCAGTCCCACATTGCCAAAACCTTATTGAAAGTCACCTTTATAAGTGAGTTCACTCACTTATAGTTTGAAAAGAATTGGGCCAAAGCCAGGACCTTGGGCCTTAGACATGGAGGGTTTGAGTGTATATATTAAATGTCAAAAAAGGGCCTTGGGCCTCTTGGGCTCGGATGGATGAAAAACACAAGTATCATTTTTATGTTAATGATTTTTGCATTCAGTTTTTTCCGAAAGGATAAAGCTGATCACGTGAACAGTTACAACCATTCTTAAAGATAAACATGAACGACTTTAACTGCTCCATTACGCCATTATAAATATGGCTGTCAGATCAAAAACCAAAACAACAATTCCATTGCTTCATTTTCATACTTCACAGAGAAACACCACAACCAATTCGCCAAGAATCCAAGTTCGAGTGCAAGAACTTGGGTTAGATAGTTGTATCCTGCAATATAGATGTCCATTGAACTGTTGCACTGGTGTAGGGATGAATTTCTATCTTAGGAGATTGCTTTTGCAAGCCTCTATCTTCAAAGAACAAGTCAGTGATTTGTGATTTTATATGCAATTTCATTTAGTGCTTATATTTTGATATATTGTATCTGTTGTTGAATTTTTCATTACAAATAAACTGTGCAAAACTGCATGGGGAAGGGAAGATATAATCAAATAAATAAATCCTCGGATTAAGAAAATTTTGGAGTTGGAAAGGACAAACACCATAGCTAATTAGTTATAGCAGAGTTTTAATCGTTACTTTATCAGTAACGCAGCCAACTATGGTCGGATACAACAAGTACTTGGGCGACACAAAGACGATGTCAAACTAATGAAATACAAGCTCTGTTCATTTCTGGTACAGAAAAAAACCCACTGCCAACTGTTACAAGTATGATGTTGTAAACTCTCATTTTATCAAACACAAAAATCACGAATTTCCGTCTAACTTACACTGATTTTTGCACGAAACCAAAGCTGGAATTCACCAGGAAAATTCCAAGGTTCCGGCTGACATGGATGGCTGGGATATACATAGCCATAATCGAATTGAGGAGGTGAAACAAACCACCATTGTTATGTGATTACTCCCAGTTAAAGGACTAGTGAAACTTAAGCAACTACATATAATATAGCCGCTCATCATAGCAATCCTAAAACAATTTCAATCTACTCAAATAACTTAACTAACCTCTTCTAACATTTTGATTCCAAGAGAGTACGTAAACAATGAAAAGATGGAAACTGAATCAGTCATGTGCTTTGCCATTCCAGTCCGGTCTGCCTAACGTGAATTCTAAGCTTGGATTTCTGGTATCAAATTAGATCCCAAATAGCTCTTCAGGTTGTCTGAATCACATTCCTGTAAGACATCCATGAGTATGTTTTACCAAAATAAATGCATTAAATGCAGTGGTGTGCATGTGAAGAGATGCTTCATGCGGGAGAAAAGTTTTGATGGGACGACCTCATGAGTCTTTATGTTTCTCTCTCATCAGACTAGATCATATGATGACAAATACACAAACAACTACTATAAGGCCCAGATAATTGCTTTCGATTCTAATGAGTATAAAACAGAAAGTGGAAGGTGGCTATGTCGGGCAAATGGAGGCCTTAGTGACCTCAGGCAAGGGACGCACAGTGGCGATGGTGGCCATTTGGTACTGAGTAAATGAAGATTGCATGGGAGAGAGGGGATATACAATTTTTTGTGTTAGCTTTTGAAGAAAGTTGAGGTTTCACCATAAAACTAAGGAACTTTAACGAAAAGCTCCCGGTACTGTTCACTTTAACGAAAAACCATATTTTTACACTAAAAAGTCAATCCTGGTACTATTCACTTTACCCTTTATTTTGTCCTTATCATTAAAACTCAAAGTTTTCAAGCCCTTTTCATTAGTTTTCCTTAAAACTAATTAGCAATATAGGAAGTAGCCCAATCTCTTATAAGCCCATACACTCCTATCAATGTGAGACTCATTCTCAACACGTCCTCTCACATGTGGTGAATTTTTTAGCCTAACATGTGGACAACACAACAGGGTGACGTGGAGCACATGTGGCCGTTTGACTTTACATGTGGGACAACCTACTCTGATACCATGAAGAAAGTTGAGGTTCTACCATAAAATCAATTGACAATATGGGGAGTAGCCTAACCTCTTAAAAGCCTATGCAAGGTTCCTCCTCCCATTAATGTGGGACTAATTCTCAACAGCTTTTAGAGTGTACATATGTGTGGAATGTGGGTTTGAGTTTATGCTTTGTTTTGGTCTAGAGGCAAGAAATGGGCTCACATCTCACTTTCTTTTGGTTGTCTAATATGAAATTCCTAACCGTTTGTGTGTGGTCGGTATGCATAAACTTTTCTTTTTATGTACTTTGTCTACGTTAGACTGAGATTTGCTAGCAAGAAGGAAAAATGAGCTTCGTCATTCTAAATGAAAATCATCTCAACTTTTAAATTTTATAGGTCCTAATGGGCTACTATGCATGCTCTTGCACGAATGCTCGTACGGTGGATGTTCTCTATACAGGAAGTTGGTTGAATGATTATGAAAATTGAAAACATTGATTTAGTACCTGAATTTTATGACCAGACATTTTCTGTAGTTGGGATGATACTGCTGGTATTTGCCCGCCCATGTCAGGAGAATTAGCATGTGGAAACGCCTCTCTAATACTGAGATTAATTTCATGGAGAAAAACAACTTTAGCACCAAATTCAAATCAAATTTCAAGTGATATATATAGCACAAAAGATCAAAATATAACAGATTGTCCCGTTATATCATGGGTGGAATCTTTTAGTCTTTTATGGCAACTAAAACTAAACCTTCCGTAAAGTTGAGGAGAAGGTCTCCAGTAAAAAGGGCTACTCGTTAGGCTACTCGTTAGGCTAAGTTTTGGGTTCGCTATGCCTCCACCAGCCATTTTCAGAGTAAACTGACACCGTATTAGATGTACCTGTTGAACTGCTCATGGCGTTTCAAATAATTAGCACAAATGTGGTTGTCTTGTAACACAATTTTCACAATCATCAGCTGCAGAAAAGCACATTTATTGGTAGTTCTTATATAAAGCACGGCCCACTATTTCACACTCAGCCTTTATCAACCATTCGCTCCAAAGGTTCATGGCGATCCTTATCAAGTACGGACCATTCCTTTCGGTCATTGCTTGAATAGTCACTGTTAGAATATTCAAGTTCAACAACTGAAAACCCTAACTCAAATATCACAAAAGAAGAACATTATTACAAATTGAAAAGAAAATAATGTCTCCTGAATTCTCAAATAATTACCTACTCTAAGCACAATTCATAAAGGAGAATTCTCAACACACTCCAATCTCACAAGCTAGCAAAATTCAAACCCTAAATCCCAAATAGTCAAGCTCTACCAAACATAGGAAGGTAAGGACGGATTAAACTAGTGATGGGTGCACAGTTTAGCCTAGGGTACCATAAGAAACATCACATAAACCTATTGTAAATTCCAAATACTCCAAAATAGACTATACAATAGAACTCTAAAAGATGAACTTGGTGAACTTAGCTATGATAACTAGCAAACGCTCCAAAAGATTCAGAGAATGAAATAATAATGTATATCGAACTAAAATTATGCATTTTATAATTTTATTTACATTCATCAACTTTCTAAATAAAATGCCTTATTAGTCTTTAATTTAGTATCTAGCTAAGCCCAATTAAGCTACCATATGAGTAAAGCACAAGACAGAATAATGTTGCATTCAATTGGGGTATTCCTGGGGCCACAACCAGGATTCTCCCAAAACTAGGCAAAATCGGGCATGATGAGGCACAAGAAGAATGACGTACATGCTTGACGTGACACAAGAGATGATCTCTTCTAGCTTAAATGAGTTTCAGGATTTCTTCAATCAGTGCACATACCCCGCCATTTTCGGTCTTCTGATAACTTAAGTGCTGAGAGAGTACGCGTGTTGCACGTATAGTTAGTTGTTAATTACTATTTTGTTATAACTAGTTAAACATTAGTTCATTAACTCTCTCTTTTTTTATTTTGTCGAAAGTTCATTAACTCTCTTGATTAATAAGAGTTGGTTGCTTTACTATCTGGGTATATACTTACTCATTGATGTACTGATCACTACCATTAATCATTCTTATCAGATACCAAATATAGAGCTTTCAATTCTTTCAGAGGTTTTCTCAATCGGCTTGCTTTCATTCTCCAAATCTTCTAGTCACCATGGTATCAAAGCTTAGGAAAGATTTATTCTCCTCACTCATGGCGAGGATTACAAAATTCAATTTAACGTATCTAACTTTACAATTGACTCATCTAAATCCTCTATAAATTATACATAAACCCTTGTCAATTCATCCAACTGATCTTCTATTTGCAACTAACTTTACTATTGTTGAACGAGTTGAGTTAACTAGTGAGCATGTTTAGTAGCATATCCACAAGTAATTCTCCTGTATATGTAGCTATAGCTGGTGGGATAGAAGTTACAGTTAGCTCCCTAACCTAATAGCCATGATGCCGAGGCTACACGACTAGTCGATCCACATGCCAAGAGTGGCATTGGAGCATATCTCTCTGTTATTAGTTGTGATCGCCATTCGCATACTTCCTCTCCACAAAATTCACATTCCTGCATGTATTGGTTATTTTCCTCCGAATATGGCACCTGGTTAGATCATCCCAACAGCCGTATGGGTAACTAGCAGGACTCAAGTTCCTACTATTGGGTATATGATACGTCGGTATAAGTGCGCATAATTAAGGAACACTTCCCTCAAGTGTTTGTTGCTCTGAGATTTTCTTAAATTTAGTTTATTCAAAGAAATAAACTAATAAAACGAAATACAAAAATAAGACTTTATCTTTTTGTTTTAGTTAAAGAGAAGCCAAAAGACATTTGAGATGATATGTCAAGGGTGGAGTACAGTTTATAAAATACATATAGTTATTCGAACTTTGGAAAAAGGTGGGGAGCAAGAGCAAGAGGGAATGACATTTTTGGTCATATATTGCAATGTCCTCGTGGAGAGAATAAGAACCAGATTATAATATCAGTAACATAAGGAAACAGCTCTAAGTTAAATTAATAATTCTCAAGAAAAAAGAAAAAGTGTAACTGTATTTGCTTTCTGTTATCTTCGCTAACGATTCTGATTGTGTTTGCTGCTTTTTCTTTAAAACCCATCAAAGCTGATGCCACAAATCTGATTATTTGAGCTGGAATTTTTTTTAAAGGAAAGAATATTGATCTAAAATTGTTTCTTTAATTTATTTGTAATTTTGTATAATGGAATATATTGTTTTATTCTTACTTTGATTTTTGTCAGTGCGAGTCTTAGCTATATTTTAATAAGAATTCTTAATCAACCAAAGAAAATCTTGCAGAAGAGAAAAGAAGAAGAAAGAGGAAATTAACCAACAGAAAATAAAGCAAAAGCTGCTTGGCCACAGCCCACAGGGAACCCTTTTATTCTTTAAAAAAATGGTGGACGTGGTTTTGCATTAAGCTACATAAGGTACCATGCAAAAGCAAAGAAAGGAATCACCTATAGTACGCTTATAATTTAAGTTCACCCACACACACAAAAAAAAAAAAAAAAAAAAAGTTCAGGCATATATATACATATAGCATCGTATATATAACATTAGAGAGAGAAAGAGAGAGTGATGAACCTTGAAGAGTTACTCCAAAGAGTGGTACTGGAAGTGTAGTCCACGTCTGGTCTCACAGACTGATCACACAGTCCTCGTTGCTCCGGAAACTGTTGAGTATTGTGTAGTCCATGATGATCCGTTGCGCTGCTAATCGGAGAGAGAATGTCGTCCTCGCCAGATCCATCCGATTGCCCTTAATTTCAAGGGAAAACAAATCAAAATTAATCAAGTTACACCCGTATTAATTATTTCTATTTAAGCTATATGTACAATGTACATTGTATTATTTGCATATGGTACAATAATATTATGTGTATCATGACACGATGACATGATGTATGCATGGAATGGAAGCATGGGATGCATGTGAGTGCATATATGTATTAGCTAACTAGGTTTTATGGTCAAATGTTGACTACATATACATATATATATACACACACACATATACATATACATATACATATACGTGTATATATATATATATATAGCTCTATCTATCTAAGACAGGGTTTAGTACAATTAGAAGGAAAATAAATAACAGGAGGAAAGGAAAGCAAAGATTTATAAATTTGTGCGGTAAAAAATTAATGTGAAGTGAAGGGTAATAAGTAAGAAAAAGTTAACTAGTTAAGGCTGTTAAAGGAGCAAAAAATCATAAAAAGAGGTAAGGGGCTAGCAATACGAATTACCTGAAGAAGCTGCAGGCTTGTCAGTGGTCTTAACAGTTCGATACATCTGCAAAAGTCATCGGCCATTTAATTAATAATAATTATAAATTCAATGTCTACATAAAAACTCACATAAAAATCATAAAACTATTCCCCTTCCCATTAATTAATCACTTAGTTAATATAATTCAGATCTCTTAATTTGTAGCTAGGTTTCTCTCTCCGCGGGCTTCTGGGACTGTCTTGGTTTTCATGTATGAATTAATAAAAATGGAAGGACGACACATTAATCACGAGGTTGATGTTGGATAAGGAAATAATTAATACTTCATTTTTGAGAAATGATGACTACTTTTGTCTGTTTTATGACATGCATTTGTTTTTTAAGAGAGAGGGGAAGACAGTACTGTAGTAGTCCAGAAGTTTCAGACAAACTCAATACAAATATTATAGCTAACTACTCTTTCATTCGTTCATTCACAGCTCCGCATTGGTAACTGTACCACATGAGAGAGAGAGAGAGAGAGAGAGAGTAGCTTGCTACCTGTAAATGGCTCTTGACATGAGCTAGAGTGAGATCCTTGACATTCATGAGCTCAAGAACTGACTTTGGAGTAGCTCCTTAAAATCATAACAAAAATTTAAGCCAGAAAGAAGAAAATTAAGAACAAGAAATGAAGGAATTAAAAGGGAATTACTTTTTTTTTCTTTCCAAATATATATTAAGAAATGAAGTAAAAAAGAGGGGTTTGAATAATTGATTACTTTCATGGCCACCAAGATGCTCAACAGCATGAACAAATCTACCATGGAGAGTGCTTGTCCATCGCATCCTCGGAGCTCTCATACTCCGCTTTGTCGGTAGCTTTGGCAAGAATCTCGATCTCATAATACCATGATGAGAACCCTCAGAAATAGGTCCAACTCCTCCAATTCCATACTGATTGTGATGATGAAGATGGTGGTGGTGGTGCAGTTGGTTGTTTGATTTAAACGCATCCACTGATGAGAACCCGTTAAATCTTGACATGGGCTCCAAGCCGGTGGCTCCTCCTCCTCCGAAATAAGGTGTAGACTGGGTGTTATGGGAGGCAGCTGAAGGAAAAGAAGGATGGTTAAAGGAAGGTGGAGGAGGTCTTGGGTAAAAGCACATCTTGGAATCCTTGTGATGATCTCTTGTGATAATATTGTCCATAGGCAAGAAAGGGAATGAACGGTTCTGATGATAAACCGGAATCCCTTTAATCGGCCTTAAACCCTCCGATGATGAGACATCAAGCAGCGAAACGCCATGATTTAAGTGGCTTAAATGACTGTTGGAACTGTGAAGATGAAAACTTTGTCGTTGATATGGGTTTTGTGGGGGTTCTTGTTCGTGAGCTCCGCCGGTGAAGCATCGCCCTAGGGATAGCTCAGTGTGAGCTTGGGTAGTGGGATTTTGGGGTTCATTAGTGGTCGTACTATTGAAAATTGATGATGAATTAGAGGAAGTAGTGTTGGGAGGACTAATATGAAGAGAAAGATCAGGAATTTGAGAACTAGTAGTTCTGGTTGTAGAGGGTTCTATGAAAATCCCTTCCAAGGGCATTTTCTGATTCACTACTTTACTAAACCAAATACTAGCTAGCCTCTCTTTTCTTCGTGAGTGAAGAAAGTTGAGGAAAATAATTAAAGAAAAAGGTAGAGGTAATTTCTTTTGAGCTTCAAGATATTTGGGGGAGGTTTGGTTCTTTTTTTCTTTTTCTTTTTTTTTTTTTTTTTTACAAAGAATATGTGGAAAGCTAGCTATCAATTAAAGAAGAACAAAGAAGAAGGCTTGAAGGGTTGTGTGTGTGTGCTTTGAAGACCAAATTATTGAGTGCAGGAACAAGTTAAAAGGGTTACCGAGCTAAAGCAAACAAAGACAGCAATCTTCTGGAACAGACATGCTCGAGAGAGAGAGAGAGAGAGAGAAGTCATGGAAAGAAAAAATAGAAAGAAAGAGAGAAAGTCATAAGTTATAGGATTTGGGTTTGGTTATTCTCGAGAGTATATCTTGGAAAATGACACTAGAAGAAGAAGGAGAAAAGAAAGAGCACAAGGTCCCTCGCTCTCTCTCCTCTCTCTCCCTCACTAGTCAAAACCCATCAAATGCACCAAAAACTGTGGTCCCTTTGGGTTTCCCTGCTCCGGAGACGACGGGATTAAAAATTTTAGAGAGAGAAAGACACCTCTTCCTGATTCCTTTTCCCCCACCCTCTTCGCTCCTTGGTTCTCTTCTCTCCCTATTTTTGTAATTTTTTATATACCTTTTTGTATTTTTTACAGTACAGTAGTCAATAGAATATATATATGCATATATATAAACTAATATAGGGTTTGTACTTATTAGCTTAAATTTTCTACATTTTGGAAGCACATAATATATGTAATAGTAATAAAAACAAAATATTTTGTCTCTGGATTTTCCAAATTCTCGTGAGATTCTGAAATTATGAGTGTGTGATAAGATAATATTGAAAAATATTGAGGCATTGACCTTATGATATCTGAGTGAGCTAGCTAGAGACCCACAAAGGGGTTTTTGTTTGCTTGCACATTGTACACCTCGCAAACCCTAATCCCACGTTAATTATTTTACGGAGCAATTAAGTTCTTATCCTTCATTTTGCTACTCTATTGATTAAAATCCCATTCCTTTTCAATTTTTGATCAATGTCCTTGGGTATTAATAACATCATTAATTATTTTAATAATAAATTTTTTTTTTATTTCTAAATATATTCATTTAATGTTAAAAATACAATTAGTATATTTATATTTATGACTAAATTTTTTATCATATATTTTTAGTTTTAGTTTTTAATTTGTAATTTTTTTTTTAATTTGTACCAATTTTATTTTCAGTTTTAATTTGTACCCATATATTAATTTCTTTTTGTGCCCATATTTTTTAAAGTTTATTTGTATTTGTACCCATATATTTTTTTTATTTGTACTTTTGTATTTTGCTAAATGTACCCATGCTAATTATATGTACCCATTCATGTAAAACTTTTTAATCTTAAAGTGTACTCATTCTTAAATATACCAATTTGTAATATGTAAAATGTACCTTTTTTTTATATAAAATGGATTCAATTTTTTTTTCTATTCCATTTTTAAACTTATATGGGTACATTCTTTTTTCTTTGATTTTAAAATGTCTCCATGTCAAGTTTAATCGAAGAAATTTACTAATGTTATTAAGCCTATTATCTTTTTTTTTTTTGGTGATTTTCAAGAATGTACCCATGTTTTGATACAATAATTTTTTTGGTTAATTTTGATGAATGTACCCATGTTTATATATATAGACACACACTATAGTATATTTATATTTTAATATTTTAATCCCACAAATTATGGTTTTTTATTTAAAATCTCATTTATATAAACAACTATAATTTCTAATTTTAATTTAAAAAATATAGTAACGTACATAGAAATAAATTATCACATTAATTTCAGGTACCTCGATCAAAAATTAAAAACCAACAAGGTTTCAATCAAAGAATATTCATAACTAAGGACTGCATCCAAAGTCTCCCATATTTTACCGTCTAATTTGTAAACTACTGAAGAATGTTACTGAAGATAGTTATGCAGAGAGAGAGAAAGAGAAGAAAAGAAGATCGAGAGTTTAGAGAGAAGAGAATTTCAGAAAATGTATTATCTTTCTTGTTAGTTACAAAATGATTGTTACAAAGCTTATATAGTTTGCATTTGTAGCTTACACTCTAAGCTACACTATAACAAACTTTAACTAACTCTTTAATCTCTTGACACATGTCTAATTCACAGCCATAAGATCTTAATACTCCTAACATCCCCCCTCAAGCTCAGGAGCAGAGAAATTGAGCCTGAGATTGGCACAATGAGTCCGAAAATAGGTGCAGAAAGCCCTTTGGTAAGGATATCCGCGAACTGCTCAGTTGAAGACACAAAGTACACCTGTAGTTGTTGTGTTGCCACCCTTTCGCGAACAAAAAGGACATCAACCTCAATATGTTTTGTTCGTTGATGTTGAATAGGGTTGCAAGTCAAAGCTATCGCAGACAGATTGTCACAAAAGATTAGGGTTTTTCAGTAATTGGAATTTGTAGAAAATGTAGCAGAGACTTGATCCAATCCAGTTCAGCAGCTGTAGTAGACAATGCCCAATATTCAGCATCCGTTGATGATCTACAGACAATGTTTTGTTTCTTGGACATCCAGGAAATAGGATTAGAACCCAAGAACACCACCATTCCAGTAGTTGACCATCGATCATTAGGGTCTCCAGCTTAATCTACATCACTATATGCAGTTATATCAAGAGAGCCTTTGACATATTGAATACCACAGTCTCGAGTAGCCTTTAGGTACCGGAGGATTCATTTTACAGCCACAAAATGGGATTCCATTGGTCTTTGCATAAAATGACAGACCTGATGCACTGCAAAAGCAATATCCAGTCTAGTAAATGTCAAGTATTGTAGGGCACCAATCAAGCTCCTGTACAATGAAGATTATTGTACGACTTTCCATCATTTGTGAGCAGTCTATTGTATGGAAAACATGGAGTAGCACAAGGTTTGGAGAGTAGCATGTTTGACTTAGTTAAAAGATTAGTAACATACTTATCTTGGGAAAGAAACAGGCCATCCTTATTCTGCACAATTTGAATCCCCAGAAAGTAGTGAAGGGGTCCCAAATCTTTTATTTCAAACTCCTTAGCAAGGGATTGAATAACTGTAGTGATAGTTTGCGTAGCACTCCTTGTTATGATTATGTCATCCACATATAAAAGCAAGATCACCACAGAATTATCAACAGTTTTCACAAATAAGGATGAATCTGCATATGTAGACTTGAACCCCAAAGATGGTAGAAAAGTCGTGAACCACTCATTCCGGGCCCTTGGTGCCTGTTTTAAACTGTAGAGTGATTTATGCAACCTGCAAACATAATCTTCAAGCTTTGGATCAACAAACCCAGGTGGTTGTGTTGTATAGACCTTTTCTTGCAATATGCTATGGAGGAAGGCATTTTTCACATCCAATTGTCTCAAAGTCCAGCCAAAATGTGCTGATAAAGCCAGGACTAGTCTCACTGTTGTTGGTTTAACAACATGACTAAAGGTCTCTCTATAATCGATGCCCTCTTCTTGACTAAAACCTTTTGCCACCAGCAGCGCCTTATATCTCCCAATTGAACCATCATCATTCTTTTTTATCTTATACACCCATTTACACCCAACTAAGTTCTTGTGTTTGGGCAATGGAACCAAGGACCATGTACCTTGATTATGGAGAGCGGATATTTCATCCTTCATAGCATCATACCAAACTGGATATTTCAATGCAGATTTATATGTTGCAGGTTCCACTTTATTCAAATCCACACCTTCATTTTCATGAACAGTAGCCAGTAGGGCAATTTTCTTAACAATCCCACTCTTTGACCATGTCTGCATTGGATGTAAATTAACTGGAGGAATAGAGAGAACCACTTCCAGTTGGTTAGTTTGGAATTCAGGTACCATAGGGAGTGTAAAGGATAAGGGCTGTGTTGTTGATGAAACAATGAATTGACCATCAGAAGAACCATTAGTACTGGAGTTTGCAACTGTACCTGGAACTGTAGGAGAATCTACTGAAAAGTGATGTAGGCTAGTATTTGGCATGACACTAGATATAGAATCTGAATCTAATGGTACATAACTTGATGATGAACTCAAAGTGAGTGTGAAGGTGACTGTGGAAACACAAGAACATTACATTGATCTGGAACTGGATTTGGGATTAGTATATGTGATGGTAGTGGTGAAAAAGAATTAGGGTGAGATTTAGACACCAGAGAATGATAAGGAAACTCTGTCTCATCAAATAAGACATGTCTAGAAACATACATTTTGTTTTTAGAAACATCATAACTGAGAAAACCTTTATACTTTGATGCATACCCAAAAAATACACATTTTGTTGTTCTGGGATCTAATTTAGTACTAGTGTATGGCCTCAACCAAGGGTAACAGGAACACCCAAACACTTTCAGATGTTGGATTGCAGGTATAGAGTTGTACAACAACTGAAATGGAGACTTATTTCCCAATGCAGGAGATGGCATCCTATTAATCAAATATACGGAGGTTTGACAAGCAAAAGACCAAAACAAAGATGGTAAAGAAGCAGATTGTAATAAAGTGATGGATGTTTCAATGATATGTCTATGTTTTCTTTCGGCTATCCCATTCTATTCAGGTGTGTGAGGGCAGGACAATTGATGCTTTATTCCTTTATCAGAAAGAAACTTTTGAAATACTTTACCTATATATTCACCACCACCATCACTTTGGAGAGTTTTAATGGAAGTTTGAAACTGATTGAAGATAAAATTGTAAAGGGAAACAAATATACCAGAAACATCACTTTTATTGCATATGGGAAAAATCCAGCAAAATTTTGTACAATGATCAATGAATGTGACATAATATTTGAATCCTTCTGGAGAAACACAAGGGGCATGACCCCATACATCACTATGGACAATATCAAAGGTTTGTACAAATTTGTCTCCTGAGCAAGAAAAGGGTAGTTTACTGAATTTGCCCTCTAAACATGGTTGACACACAGAAGGATCTTGATCAGCAACACAAGAAACATGAGAGGAAGTTAAAATTTGAGAAACAATGGTATTAGATGGATGACCTAGTCGTTTATGCCAAATGCTGACTGTAACTTGTTTGCCCATAAAAGCTGCAATTTTTCCTTTGTTGATAGCAGGATAAGACCGTGGTGAGAGGATAGGATACAATCCATTATGACACAACCCTTTGTAGAGTATCCTCCCTGTGGTTTTGTTCTAAATCCAAAATGAAAAAGCATCGAAAATTAACCAACAGTTATTATCCAAACAGATCTTATACACATATAACAAATTTTGAGACAGTTTTGGCACATATAGAATAGAATTAAGCCTAATAGGCTGCATTGGAGTTCGGAGAATACTAGAACCAATATGGGAGATAGCTAAACCTTCACCATTAGTTGTTTAAATGATCTCATTTAAAGGATATGGAGTGGACAATGAAAGATT